TATGTAATCTGTTTTTCCAAAATTGAGAGCGGCTGTGTACTGTCCGCACTGGCCTGATCACGCCTTACACGTTAGTTGTTGCTTTTAGCGAGAAGTTTGCTGCAGCAGCATGAAAAGAAGGTTTAGCATGCGTTGCATCATAAAACTGTTACGTGTTGCGCTACCTCATCTGTACTTACTTATTTGTTTGAAGAGAGACCTGTTTAGCACATTTCAAGGTTGAACACTCAGCAAAAATCTTTTTAAGCTGCAAGATCTCAATTCTGCAATGTATTGACAGATTTCTTGGTGTTTCAGATTGTGTGTGAAACGGCTTCCTTGCGCCTTGCCAACAATTTTCGCTCATCTGGACAATGGAGCTTCCACTTTTACTAATGTGGACAAATCGAATTTGGAAGAAGTAAGAGCTGTGATAGAAGACTTTAATAAAGTGGCTGCTCCATATGCCAAACTTGTAAGTCGGCTTTCATATTAAATGCATAAATTCTTAAATACATTATTTAGTGTCCTATTTATTTTTAGTGGAAAGGGCAAACAAATCCGGCATTTGAATCTTGGAGTCAAGATAGAGCTGATGTTGAGTTATTGACGATAATATGCAGTCTTTCTTTCAGTCGGTAATATCTCACATTTCTGATGATAAAATAAATGATCTATACTACTTTACTGAATGTTTATTAAGACTTTTTTAGCGCCGTTTCAAATCCACAATTGCTCAACAACCATTATGCTCCTTTTAGTAGCGGGGTAAGCGTTAAATTTTTTCCTTAAGTCCAACTCTGTCAGGAGGTTGCCTTAGGTTTATGGCGAGACGTCATACGAACAGATGCAGTCGATCATTGATCAAATAGGGTTCCGCGAGTCGGATGTTTTCCTAGATTTGGGTTGCGGAGTAGGACAACTGGTGATGTATGTGGCAGGAGGAACTCGAGTTCGTGCTATTTTTTGATTCTTCACACCTTGCTGTTTCGTGTCCTTTATAGTCGATTTCCAACACAAGATAACAAAAAGCTTACGAGCTAAAGAGCCGTGCGCCGATTCCTTAGAGTTAGGGCGCGCTGAATAGGCCAATTTTTTTTGGCGAACAAAGTAAAAGATGGGTTGATAAAAGTTTCCCTCCTATTCGTTCTCCTTTTTTGGTAAAAGGTGTCGTGAGCTTTCTTCAGCAATGTCTAATCTCAGCTTTGTTTACAAGTTCATAAATTTATATCTCGCGAATCTTTGATTTCCATACAGTTGTTTCTAACTTTTAACCCTTTTCCGTGTCCTATATGCAATCTGCGAGATGTCGGGTTAGTGTTTAAGTCATTCGCATAAAGTATCGTTGTAGCCATTGCCTCTCTCACAACGTTTCATGATATCACTTGTCATAATGCTTGATCTGGTGAAGAAAATTTTCAAAAACTCGTTTTCTGTTCAATTCACTGCGCTCTAATCTAAGATGTCGCGCCGTAGCCTTGCCGGCAAGCGTTGTTTTTTTTTGGAGTTGTGTTTATTTTTTCTCCACTCAAATATTGTTTTCAGGTGAAACGGTCCGTTGGTATCGAAATCAACGACCTACCTGCGAGATATGGATCAGCGATGGGTGAAGATTTTTCTAAGTGGGTTTTCTCATATTGCTGTAACTAATCTTCAATTTGAACCCTCAATTTCAAGATGGATGAAATGGTGGAAGAAGAAATGTCGTCCCTTTCAGTTGATTCATGGTGATATGTTGGATGAACAATATAGAAATATGATCACTCAGGTAAAGCAAATGACTTGCTTCTCTCTCTCTCTCT